GTTTCTGTTCTTCAAACGTGACTTCGTATTATTAAACTGGCAGGAGCTGTTGATCGCTGCTTAGCTTGTCAGTAAGACCAGCCTCTGGGAATCAGCCCTTATTGTACCATTGACTAAATGTGATGATTTACCCCCAGCGTGAATCGTGATCTCATAGTAAATGGAGTAAGCTTGAGGTTCCCACTCGAAGCTCGAGCCGTCTATTTTTCCTGTCTAACTCAACAACAACAACTTGAATTTATATAGTGCCCCTCACACAGGCAGTGGCCCAGAGCACTTGACAGTGACGGAACACAACGCTGAGCCGGGGGGAGGGGGAGGTGACCGTAGGCACGGTCAAATAGGAAGGTCTTCAAGTGCGACCTGAAGATGGGGAAGGAAGGGGGGAATGCGGAGGGACAGAAGGAGAGTGTTCAACTCGATGCGTTGAGGCTAAATGAAGCCAGAATAGAAGGGTAAAACCTCACAACTTTCTGTTGCTAACACCGGCAAGCTTCCTGTGGCTAGTTCAACTTGAACCACCCTACACCGGAGCCATGGCTTGCAGGTTCAACAGAACAGGAAGCAAGTGGGATTAATCCCACGACATGCTATTTGGTGGAGTCCTGTAGCTCAGTGGTTAGATCACTCGCCTCGCAAGTGAGAGATCCGGGTTCAATTCCTTGGCAGGGCGAAATGTTGGGCAAGTTACCTTACTCCACACCCTCTGTTTACCTAGCAGTGAACAGTTGTTAGTCGATTGGTGGATCACTTTTCCGAGGGTAATGATTCCTTCAAAAAAAAATTGGTCACTTCAATCCCTAACTGTTTGTGGGATACCGATGTGCGCAATTGGCTGCTGCATTTCGGCCACAAAATACAGTCTATTCACTTTGCAGTATATTCTGTGAGGCGGTTTAAGATTTTGCTGAAATTTCAGTAACAGAATAGGATTTCCACTGTGTCCCATTCTGGTTCTTGGAGAATACTTGGTCCTGGACTTTTTTTTAAAAAGAATCAATTTATTTTTCTCCGCAAATTGAAAAAGGAATTTTCATATTGCTTTTTTTCTTTTTTTTAAAAAAAAATCTTTCAATTCAAACCCACTTGGAGCATATGAGAGCCTATACCAGTTGACATAAATATCTGCTACTGGTTTAAATTAAACTAATTAAAAATTTTCCTTCCAAGGCATTATTATTCTTGACAATAGAGCAAAGGTATCTGTGGTACTGGAATTGAAAGGATTGCCAAAGGTTGAAATGACATCTAGTGGTAGAACGTGGGAACCAAACCCGGAAATACAGAGGGAATGAATAATTGTCATCTGTTGCATTTGATGCAGTGCCTCTTTGATACCGGATGTTTCAGTGCCCTTTAGAGGTGCACTGTAAAATGAAGCCACTGTATTTTTGCAGCGAATCAATAAAGTTTGGGGCACAGTGGCATAAGTAGGAATGGAAATTTGGGTGGCCACCAATTTATGGCGGACGGGCAATGACCGATGGAGGAAGGAGAGGGTGCTGCCGTTGATACTAGCCTGCTTTGTGTGGATTAACTACACCTGCGGAGATGGCGAGCGCACGCCCTCACAGCCACAAACATGGCGGGTGCTGTGTATGTGTGTCAAGTGTGGGTGAGCTGTACATGCACATACCCCTACATGGGGTAGGGCGAAGGAGAGGGCATTTTGAGCTCGTGCCTTTGACATAGCCAAGGCTTCTTTGTTGGCCGTAGAGGGTGCGTGGGTCTGGTGCTAATTGGACCTAGGCCCACCTAGGGCTGTGCCCCAGTGGGGAACGTCGTTTCCGACATGAAAGGCCCTATACAAATGTCATTTTCTCTAGCATTGAGGCATCGTCAAATAATTGTGCTCAACTTTGAAATATAAAACACATTTGCATCTTGTACTATGCAATGCAGTATTTTAATGTTCATTATTGTATGAAACCTTCCCCCACCCACCTGTGTCTCTGGTTACAGCAGTATCATTGAATCAGTCCCAAGGTTACCCTTTTTCCCTTCCCAATTGTGTCTGGGAGTTGGTGGCCAGGAAACCGGTAGGAACTTTCTTTTTGAGTGATACAATGGGACCTTTAATATAATAATAATCCTTGCATTTGGTCTAGCGCCTTATCAAGACTTCGAGATATCTCAAAGCGCTTCACAGACTACTGTGAAGTGAATTGACTGTATATTTTGTGGGTGAACACGGCAGCCAATTGCGCGCAGCAGTGTCCCACAAACAGTCGTGGATTGAGTGACTTTTTTTAAAGGGATTATTAGCCCTGGAAAAGCGATCCACCATTCAGCTAACAACTAGGTTTCTACTCACTGCTAGGTAATCAGAGCAGTGTGGAGTAAGGAAATTTGCCCAACATTTTGCCCTGTCTGGGAATCGAACCTGGGTTGCCTCGCTTACCAAGCGAGTGTTTTGACTACTGAGCTACAGGACTCCACAGCCACCTGAACAGGTGGAGAAATTTTGGTTTCACGTCTCCTCTAAAAGACGACATCTCTGACAATACAATGCTCCCTCAACACAGAATTGGAAAGACAGTCATATAGACTACGCGAGCTCAAAGCTCCAGAATATGGCCCTTTGCAGGACTTCCCTACATTAATACATTAGAAACCAATGTTTATGTAGCTCTCTTATCCCAAGCCTCCATTCCAATTAGTATCAAATGGATAATAGGTTCAGTTTGAGACAAAAAGTGTTAAATATATTTAGTTTGAGTTGTGCCATGGACTCATTTAGTTTCATCAGTGTGAATGTGTTCAACTCTATTACCTCCTACACTTTAAAATATGTCTTGTGTTGAGTTTGTGTAAGTATTGATGGTGCAAATCAATTGCTGCTTTTGTCACCTGTAATGATATTTCCAATTCATCTCATTCTATAAAGAGATTTCCACGTCTTTTCACAATACCCAACTTACCGTCCTCCCATTACAAACACTTTCCTAAATGGCTGCAGCAATCCTGGCCTCAACCGTTCTCCCCAGTAACCTGTTCATATTTTCCCAACTTTTCGCTCCACAAATTGCAGGTTATTCAGAACTGGAGTTCTGTAGCTCAGTGGTGAGAGCGAGGGACCTGAGTTCGATTCCCGGCAGGGCGAAACCTTGGGCAAGTTTCCTTACTCCACATGCCTGATAATCTCTCAAGAGAAAAAAAACAATAAGAATTTGATCACTCAATCCGCGACTGTTTGTGGGACGCTGCTGTGCGCAGTTGACTGCCGCATTTCGCCCGCAAATATACAGTCAATTCACTTTACAGTATATTCTGTGAAGTGTCTTGAGATGTCTAGAAGACGTGATAAGGTGTTATATCAAATGCAAGGAATATTATTGTATTATAACTGCAGCTCGCGTTCTCCCCCGCAACAGGCTGTGGAAACCGATCACCCCCATCCTTGTCCGGCTTCACTTCCTCCCCATTCCTCAGAGGATTGAGTTCCAAACCCTTGTTCTCACCTTAAAATCCCTCCATGGCATTGCTCCCCCCTACCTCTCTGGCCTCCTAACCCCAAACCAGCCTGTCCACTCTCTTCGCTTGGCGGAAACTGGCCTATTCCAGGTCTCCCACACATCCCGTCCCACCATTGGCGGTTGGGTATTCAGCATCTCTGCCGCCACCCTCTGGAATTCTACCCGGCAATTGCTCCACCTCACTCCCTCTCGTGCCTCCTTCAAGTCCTGTCTAAAGACCTTCCTCTTTTTTACCGTGCCTTCGGCCACCCACCCATCCCACCCTGCCCTCCACCGCTCCTGAGCCCAACTCCCCGTTCGTGTCCCAAACCCCTGATTGTCCAGCGCCCTGGGACGTCTTTCCAACGTGAAGGGACCCGTACTAGTATAATTTGTTGTTGTTGTTGTTTATCCTGAAATTGCCTTCCATCACCATGAGCTTGAGGCCTCCTCATGATCTGATAGCAGTTTGAATATTCCTCTTGCTGATTTAGTGTGCCCAATTTTTTTTTCCGCCCTGGTCCCTCTGGACTGTCTCCCCGTTAATGGGGTGCTGTTTCCTGCATGCTGGTTGCCCTCTGCAGAGTACCCCACCCGAAGAGAACCTTTGTTCAGGCTTGGCAATAAGTGTCTGTCAGGCCACTTGACTGTATAGGACGTCACTTCAGAGCTTGAATTCATGCACATGAACTGTAGAGGGTTTAGGAGCAGGAACCCTGGCTTGTTTCACCCTCCCTAATTTAGCTTGCACTAATTGACCCTGGCCCTGACCAGCAAAGGTAGGATGGACCAGGATTCGAACCAGCGATCTTCTGGTCATTAGCCTCTGTCCACTCCCATCATCTGGTTGGACTGCCCCACATTTTGGACATTCAGTCCAGGTTGCGTGTTCAGTGAGAGCCATAGACCCACTGCTGGGAACACGCAGCAGGTCAGGCAGCATTCTCTCTGCATAGATGCCTCTTGTTCCCAGCGACTTCTGTTTTTATTTCAGATTTCCAGAATCTGCAGTATTTCTGTGCGCAATTGGCCTGTGTTTCGCCCACAAAACACACAGTCACTACACTTTATAGTATATTCTGTGAAGCGCTTTGAGTCGTCTCGAAGACATCATAAGGCGCTATATCAAATGCAAGGATTATTATTATTATTTTGCCTTCTGTTTATTGAGGGCTCCTCTCAGAGGCTGACTGACTCGTAGACTGTAGACTTCCAGCGTTGTCTACTATTAATCTGCTTACTGATCGGAGCCTGATCCTTGGCTGGCTACCTTTCAGGTCATCAGAGCTGCATCTCTTAAGTAGATTTACAGGGAATTATTTCTGGGAGAGACATTTTGAACAAAAAAATACTCTTTTTCTCCTCCCCCACCCCCGCCTGACTTTAATCCCTCTCTAACAATCTGCAGTGCACCCAGTCATTTAATTTGTGCTGAAACTCAGAGCCATGTTATGCAGCGTTATCTGGGAGCTATATATTTTTACTTGTATTAATACTGTTGCTTCTAAGCTAACTTCTATTTTTTTTCTTTTGACTCTCCTTCAGGTACAAACCGTTCTTTCCATTCCAGGTGCTTCCAACAGCTGGCTCAGCGAACTGTGAACTTTATGCCCAAGACTCGAGCCTAGTTGAAGGACGTCTGAAAGTCACGGTGGTGGAATGTAGCAGGTAGGTGCCCAACACTCACCCAGTCTCAGCTATCAGACCATATAGCTTTAAAGTTTAAGACAAGGGACAGAGAGCCTTGCTGGTTCTCACATCTCGGAGTCAGACAAACCCCACCTCGGCCCTTTAAGCTCACAGTCTTGGTTGACATTTCAGTCTAGTTGTGTTCCCTCATTTCCACTGTGAAATCTTGTACGTCACTGCATCCAAATTTGCAGATGACACCAATTTGGAGTGCGTGTGTTTGTATGGGAGGGGGACTTTGGAATCAGAGGAGGCTACAATGGTATTGCAAAGAGAGAGCGTGATCAGATATGCACATTTTCTAATAACTGGTAAATTAAGTTTGATAACAACAACAACAACTTGCATTTATATAACACCCTTCACGTGTCCCTGAGTTCTTGACACTGACGGAGTCTGACAACGAGTGAAGGGGGAGGTGACCGTAAGCACGATCGAAAAGGAAATTCTTTAGCTGAGATTTAAAGGTGGGGAGGGAGGGGGCAAGGTGGAGGGATTGAGGGAGAGAGTTCAAGAGTTTTGGGGCGTAGTTTCGAAGGCACAGCCACAGATGGTAGAGCAGATGGGACGAGGGACAAACAGGAGGCCAGAGTCAGATAATACAGATAAGGTACTAGGTATAGGAAGGTACTGGATATAGGAAGTAGAAATATGAAGTGAATGTACTAAATGGGTGGAGAACTTACCAAGGAGAAAGTTGGAAGAAATCTATGGGCGTTGATTGACTCATTGCTCACCATGTCAAAACAGTATGAGGCAGCAATAAACAAGACACACAGGATGCTGGGCTATATTGCCAAATCAGTTGAGTTTAAATTCCCAGATATCATACTCAACCTATACTGAGCTATGGTCAAGCTGCACCTGGAGTATTGCATACAGTTCTGGTCGTCGAAACTTCGAAGGAGGGTACAGGGTACTGTGTACTGTGCGAATTTCAACAATAGCGATATATTCCCTGAGTACTATTTTACTCCAATGACATTGAGGGCTTTATAAAGGATGCGTATAATGTATATCCCGAAATAAAATCTCCCAAAGCATTTGCCATTAAGCAGGAATCTATCTTGGTTGTTAAGTAGTACAGTATAAATTTGCTAGAAAAAGGAGCTGCAGCTTTGATTTGTGCTCACTAGAGGACAGCAGAGGCCTGGCATTTTGGTGACTGCAGTGAGGTTGGAACACACGTCAGATTTATGTGCCTCAGGTGTCTGGTGAATAGAGACATCTAAAATAACTTTCCCTTTCAAATGTTATTGGAGTGGAGTCCTTTAGCTTAGAATTGGAGCACTCACCTCGCAAGCGTGAGTCCCGCACCAGGCTTCGGGACCACATCACTCCCACCCTCGCTCGCCTCCACTGGCTCCCCATCCCCCAGAGGATTGATTTCAAGATCCTCATCCTCACCTACAAGGCCATTCACGGCCTTGCTCCCTCCTACCTCTCCGACCTACTATCCCCCTACCTACCTGCCCGTACCCTCCGTTCCTCTGGCTCCGGTCTGCTCCACGTCCCCCGCCCCAATCGCCCTACCATCGGTGGTCGGGCCTTCAGCCTCTCAGCCCCGAGGCTCTGGAACTCCATCCCCCAGTGCCTTCGCCGCTTCCTCCCTTTCCTCCTTCAAGGCCGGTCTCAAAACCTTTCTCTTTGACCGAGCCTTCAGCTCCCCTCTCGACTCTCTTCCCCCTCCTCGCTCCCTCCCTTCCCTCCCCTTACCCTGACCATTTCCCCCCTGCTCGGGTCATGACCCAACTGTGCAGCGCCTTGGGACGTCCTCCTGACGTGAAAGGCGCTTTATAAATGGAATCTTGTTGTTGTTGTTGTTGAGGACCTGGGTTCGATTTCCGGGCAGGGTGAAACGTTGGGCAAGTTTCCTTACGTCTCATCTGAAGGAAACTGCATCTGTTTACCTAGCAGCAGGTAGGAACCCGGTTGTCAATCGATTGGCAGATCACTTTTCCGAGGGTAATAATCCCTTCCAGAAAATAAATCAATCATAATTTGATCGCTCAATCCACGACTGTTTGTCATGACACTGCAGTGCTCCGCAATTGGCTGCCACGTTTCGGCCACAAAAGATACACGTCAATTCACTTTACAGTATATTTGCAGTATATTACACTTTGCCAGGTTTCAGTCTGGTTCAATCAGTGGCACTTCCCCCTTCTGAGTCAGATGGTTGTGGGCTCAAGCCCTATGTGGGGACTTTGAACTTGTCGAGGCTAACACTGCATGCAGTATTGGGAGTGTGCTGCATTGTTGAAGGTGTCATCCTTTCTGAGTGAGAAGTTAAACAACAACAACAACAAGATTCCATTTATAGAGCGCCTTTCACGTCGGGAGGACGTCCCAAGGCGCTGTACAGCTGTACAGTTGGGTCAGGACCCGAGCAGGGGGGAAATGGTCAGGGTGAGGGGAGGGAGCGAGGAGGGGGTAGAGAGTGGAGAGGGGAGCTGAAGGCACGGTCAAAGAGAAAGGTCTTGAGACCGGCCTTGAAGGAGGAAAGGGAGGAGGCGGCGAAGGCACTGGGGGATGGAGTTCCAGAGCTGTCCAGTTCGGGGCTGAGAGGCTGAAGGCCCGGCCACCGATGGTAGGGCGGTTGGGGTGGGGGATGTGGAGCAGACCGGAGCCAGAGGAACGGAGAGTACGGGCAGGTAGGTAGGGGGATAGTAGGTCAGAAAGGTAGGAGGGAGCAAGGCTGTGAATGGCCTTATAGGTGAGGATGAGGATCTTGAAATCGATCCTCTGGGGGATGGGGAAAAAAAACTCTGGGACATGACTCTGTGTGACGGGCGTTATATATAAATGCAAGTTGTTGTAGACTGAGGACCCATCTGCCTATTTTGGTGGACATTAAAGATCCTGTGGCACTAACCGAAAAGAGAAAGGAGTTTCTCCCTGTGGCCTACAACAATCGCCCGAATACAATTGATCAGTCACTCCACCGCTGTTTGTGGGGGAATATTGCTGCACGCTGCACGTACAAAATACACAGTCACACCACTTTACAGTATATCCTATGAAGCGCTTTAAGACGACCTCTTGACTTGTCTGTACCAGAATCATGAGCCTCTGTGAAAGGATTGGCAAAGACTTTGAAAATCCAAAGACTCTAGTCTGAAACAAACAATTTCTTTGGTGCAGTAGTGAAGGAAATAGGGTCTAATTTTCTCGGCCCATCTTTCCAGCCCCATCGTAGTCAATGTTATGATCAGAATGTTGTGTATATCTAATTATGTCCTAGCCGTTTAACCTAATCATACCACTGCTTTTTTTTAATTTAAAGGTTATTTATCCTGGGATCCTATGAACGAAGTTTACCCATCCATTGTACGCTGGAGTTGAGCACCAGTGTGTGGAAAGAGAAATCCAGAAGCTCCATAAAAACGGTAACTTTTATCACCAAATATTTGTGAGTTAAATCAGGGCGATGAAACCAGTGAGCCTATTGAGCTGTGAGACGGAGAGTTCAACATCATATTGGGTCAATATGCACTATTTCCACTGTGAGTTTAAAACCGTTTGAGAGGTGGCTTCTGGAGTAAGTTTGCATGAGCTGAAATAATTCTTCCCAACAGCCCAGATCCCCGATCTCTCCCGAAATCCCTCGGCCTCTCGCTCAGTTTTCTCTTACTGCATGTGCTTTCAGTCACTTTCCTGCTGCCTTGTTCAGTGAATCGCCCTGTCCCAGGATTGCGCTTCGGGATGTTTCCCCACAATTTTTTTTGTGTCTGTGAGACGTACAGTAACTCATCACCGTGCTTTAGAATATTCCAACCAGCCTGAGAGTTCTACATATGTACACCATCTACACATGAACATGATCCTGTGTTTGGAATGGGATGCTCACTCTCTCCCTGGAGGGACACACCCTGTTGACCTAATGTCAGTGAGTATTAGGTTCAGGTTGGCAAGAGGCACGGCTTGGGGATCCCAGAGCATGAGTTCAGGTAGCGATGGAGTTTAATCAGCTGAAGCCGCACAGCTTTCCATTGATAGCATTGAAAGTACAAGTTGATGGTGCGACAGAATTTTTATGTTGGCACTTTGGTGTTTAATTTCCATGTTTGTCTGTGACAAAGAATGAACATTCCTGATCAGGCAGGAATCTCACTGCTTTGCTTGTAGTTTGGCAGATTGAATCTTCGCTGAACTCACATAGTCTAGGCTGGCTTTCCATTGCAGAGTGTTGCATGGTCCAGCATGCTGTCCTTCAGATGAGACGTTAAACTGAGGTCCCATCTACCTGTTCAGGTGAACCTGAAAGATCCCACCACACTATTTGAAAAAAGAAAGGAGTTTCTCCCGGTGTCCTGGCCAACAACGCCCCCAAATAAAATTGGTCATTCACTTTATGGCTGTTTGTGGATCATTGCTGCGTGCAAATTGGCTGTCGCGTTCGCCCACAACTACACAGTCACTACACTGCACAGTATATCCTGTGAAGAGCTATGGGACTTCCTCCTGATGTGAAAGGCGCTTTACCAAATGCAAGGATTATTATTGTTTTTGTTGTTATTGTCGGGTGATGAAAAATAGCATTTCCCTGTTCTATATGGTAGGATTTTTTTACATGGAATTATTCGCTTGACTGCCGGGTGTATCCTGCTGGACGTACAGCTGCAGTCTCCAGTAGAGGGCTGCAAATCTCCATCTACTCTTGCCCACCTGTCTGGAACACACTCAGTCACTGCCAGTAAAATCTGAAAATATCATGCTAAATAATCCTCCAGGTTATAAACCCTTGTGGGACCTTGCTGGTGCGAGTAGCTGTGATTATTTGTTTACAGTCCATAAAATTTAAAGTCAATTCACTTTACAGTATGTTCTGTGAAGTGTTTTGAGACGTCCTCTCGAAATAAAAGACGCTAAGTAAAATGCAAGGATTGTTATTATTCATAATCTGTTAAATATAGCCTTGGCATAGCAACTTCATTTTGCTTGGGAGGTGGAGGTATCTATGCTCTAGTGGTGAGAGTACTGGCCTCGCAAGTGAGAGGACCTGGGTTTGATTGGACCTGGGCGGGGGAAAAACGTTGGGCAAGTTTTCTCACTCCACATGTTTACCTAGCAGTAAGTAGAAACCCGACTGTTAGGCAATTGGCAGATCGCTTTTCCTGGGAAGACAATCCTTTCAAAACAGAACTAAACTTTAAAAAATAATAATAATTTGGTCACTCAATCCACGACTGTTTGTGGGACACTGCTGTATGCAATTTCGCCAATATAAACAGAGGCGTGTGGAGTGAGGAAACTTGCCCAACAAATGTAATTTTGTCTTGTATTTGTATTGTATTTAGAATTGACATGCAAGATTCTGGGTTTTTCATGTATGTTTATGGAGTGGACAGTGGACATATCAAGTAGAATGTATACACATCGAGCATAGGTGGAGTCCTATAGAGTATTGGTTAGAGCACTCCCCTTGCAAGCGAAGGGACCCAGGTTTGATTCCCAGACAGGGCGAAACCTTAGGCAAGCTTCCTTACTCCACATGCTTCTGTTTACCTAGGAGTAAGTAGGAACCTGGTTGGCGATTTGCTTTCCAAGGGTAATAATCCCTTCAAAAAAAAAAATTTACTTGGTAACTCAATCCACAGCTGTACAGAGTTGGTTCCTACATTTCGCCCACAAAATACACAGTCAATTCACTTTACAGTATATCCTGTGAAGCGCTTTGAGATGTCTCAACTTGTGCTAAGGCGCCAGGATTATTATTATTATATTATTATCTCACATAAACATGATTTACTGTGACTTAGAATTGAAGTGAAGCTTCTGGGTTTCTCGTGGAAGTTTATGGATTGGACAGTGTATATACCAGGTAGAATTTGTATGTTTCAGCGTATATTTTTTCCTTATTAAGTGTAGCAGACAGTAGCCTTTCCCAGCAGGCTGGAGGCAGTAGAATACAATCGAAGACAGCCTTGTGCTTTCCAAAACGTCTTGTATAAAAAGTGCTCACGTTGAGCTCTTATAATCTAATCAATCCTGTCGCGAGGTGACTACAACATTTCAAAACTATTGTTGTCTTTCTGTTTTTGAACTAAATGCAACTTTATTCACAAATTAAAAAGATTCTAATTATACCTTTTCAGCCTTTTGACACGTAATACTATAATTATCTTAATACATTAGTAATGAGCAACCTTTCCTTTTAAAATGTCAAGTAACAAATGCTACCCAGCTGTTTGGTGTGTGTGTGTGTGTGTGTGTGTGCGTGTGTTTGTGTGCGTGGGGGAGGGCGGGCATTGGGGGATACTTTAGCAAATGATCATAAAGACTGCAGTTTTCTTGTCCAGCGCCTCCTCCATTTTCTCTCAAGCAAAGACTCGTTTTCTCTTTATAACCTTCATACCAATCCAAAGGCATCAGCATCCCGCAGAGGAGAGTAATCTGGGATCACAGTTCTGTAAAGAAATTCATCCTTTTCGTACGTCTTCTCAAAGGCTTTGGTTTGAACTTTACCTTCAGTTTCTTTCCTCCTGTTAACTCCGGAGCTCTAAAAATTGAGGTTGTTTTAGCCTTAAGCTTTGCATGGTCTTAGCCTTATGATCTACACTGTTAAATGCTTAAATGTTAACCCATTCGATTGACATTTAAAATTGGACAGAAGATTTGCCTGTGGTTAGATGAGCATCCTGTTGGCAGTCGGTCAATTTCATCAATGCAACAACTTGCGGCTCAAACTAAGAGGCCAATCCACCGGGTCGGTCAACCATTGATTGAGGACCTCCCATTCTTTCCTCCAATGAACAGTTCCTTTAATGCTGTGGCCTCAGTCACTTTGGGCAGCTTTGTTCAGACTTGTGGACTCCTGTAGTTCAGTGGTTAGAGCACTCGCCTCGCAAGCGAGAGATCTGGGTTTGATTCCCGCCAGGGCGAAACCATGGGCAAGTTTCCTTATTCCACACGCCTGATAATAATCCCTCAAGAAAAAAAAACAATAATAAAATTGGTAACGTCAATCCAAGACTGTTTGTGGGACACTGCTGTGCGCAATTGGCTGTTGCGTTTCGCCCAGAAATATACAGTCAATTCACTTTGCAGCATATTCTGTGAAGCGCTTTGAGACATCTCGAAAACATGAAAAGCGCTATATCAAATGCAAGGATTATTATTATTATTATAAACAACCGACCAAGGCTGATTAGGCTGCTGTTTGAGCGCCTGGTATATCCAATAATCTGGTGCAAGGTATGAACGCAATGGGAATTGGACAGAAGCATTTGCATGGGGGAACCAGTGTATACTGTGTATATTGCTCTTTAAGACAATCCACCCAGGGGTTGAGCATTAATTAGTGTGTGACAGCAGCATCTAAGAAAATTGGTGGCCATTTTCTCCTCTAACTCCCAGTTACTGTCTCTGACCTGTTGGATGAAGGATGGCTCCAGTGATGATATCACCCATGTCATCCGTGAGGGAAACTGCACGCAAATAATTCCACAGATCAGTTTGAGGTTTCACCAGATTCTTATAGGAAATATAATGGGCAATAACATCTATTGCATTTGATACAGCACCTGTCACACCAGGAGGATGCCTCAAAGAGCTTCACAGAATTTGCTATAAAGTGCAGCGATTGTGTGTGCGTGTGTGTGCGTGTTTGAGGGCAGCAGTTCACTCCCACAAACGGCCACAGCATCGCTCTGTTTGCTGCGGGAATAAAAAGACTCTTTAACCCCAAAGTCACTGATGAAAAACTCAATAACATCCAACTATCCTATCCCTACATCTCCAGGATCCTTCCTTCCTCGCAGCTTCTCCTGTGTCTATGTGTCCTGATGTTCAGCGACTGAAGGGGTTGCTCGGAAGAAACCGAACGCACAGCAGTCTTTAAAGATGTGCGTACCATGTATTTAGTGCTCTGTATCACCGAGAAGGCTTTCATCTTTCCTCAAACACAAAAAGTGCTGAAGAGGAGCAAGAAAATGTTAATTCATTCAGTGGGTATGGAGATTTTTTTTTCAAAAGCTGTTTCATGTCCCGCCCAATGAGTCGTCTGTAAGATCTCTTTAAAATGGATTTGAACCCAGTGTTCTGCACAAATCTCTGTTGCTTGGGTTTGATTGACGGGTACGTATTTAGCAAGTGTCCTTCTGGTGATGCACTTTGTTATGTGTTTTTTTTATCAGCCTCTTCCTGCTTCTCCGTCGATGCTGGTTTCAAACAGCTGTGAGCACAACAAAGCAGCAAGATTACACTGGCTCTCTAGATTGAAGAGTAGACATGCTGCGAGTTGATAAGCAGTGCCCGCCACACACCCACACACACACAAAATGTAGTTGCTAATCCTTATCTTGGTCCTGGAGGTTTGTAAACTGTGGTTTACATTAAAAGCCTTAATGGATGGGAGTTTGCAGAGTGATGCAGGATTCACGTCCCT